CAAAATATAAATGAGCCTGGAGATAAAGACCAAGACCACTGGCACTAAAAGCACTTGAAGACTATTAAAATCTCCAATAATTGCTAGCCACATAAAGACTTTTAACTGAAGTGTTCCTTCCCTCCCTATTGCCCCTGCCACCACTATAACATAGGCCTTAATTACCACTCTCTGGGACTGCTGCCATAGCTTCCTAATAGGCCTTCCTACTGCTCTCTTTTCCAATCAAGTCCTCAAACTGCTGCCAGATGAACCATCCTTAAATCCATCTCTGATCATGTTACAATGTTATTTAAAACACTGTTGAATAATATTCAAACTCATTTGCCTGGCATTCAAGGCTCTTTGCCATCTGCTACCATCTTACCTTTTCAGCTCTACCTTGCATGACTTTCCACCTTGTTCTCTATACTTTAATCGAACACAGATCTTAGTACTTTGTGTGTACCACCCTTAAACATGTATTATTGTGCATTAATCATGAGCTGCAATGTGGTAGAATGGCGAGAGGACTGGCTGGAGTCATGAAAACCTGATTTTGAGTCCTTCCTCTGATACGTATTAGCAATGGGATCAGCAGCAAGTCCTTTAACCTTTCAGAGTCCCAAGCAAAGCTCTAGGACTACTGGGCTTAGAGTTAGAGGATGTTGCTTTGAATCTTAACTCTGCCTTGTACTACTTGTGTGACTATGAGCAAGTTATTTAACTTTTCAGAGCCTTGATTTTCTCATCTGTAAAATTGGGAGGTTGGATTATACCTCTTCCATGCCTTCTAGCTCTAAATCGATCATGCTGTGATTCTAAGTTACAGAAAAGTCATTCATCTCTGTCCATGGGACGAATGTCCACAGTGGATATTCCCTCATACCAATAAAATGACAGACCTAGACCAAAGTTTTTTATGTGACAAACCTCCCCTACTAGACTGTAAGCTCTGTGAGAGTAGGAACTGTGTTTTATTTACCCTTTGTATTTCTCCCAGTGCCTTGCACAATGCTCTTCACATGATAGATGTTAAGTGCGGAGTTGAGTTCTGTGTTCAGGAGTGACAAAGAGGTGTGAGTTCATTGTCCACTCACTCCTATCCTCATATTAGCCCCAACTGTAGACCACCATTGCCCCTTAAGTTTCAGTATTGCCTGCTCTATTCCCTAAGGTTTGAACTCTTCTCTCACTCTCAAAACAATCTGAATTTATAGATCACTGCCTTACTTACACAGCAAGTCTAGAATTAGTCTTTAAGCTACCAGTAACTATTTGAGTTGACATAATACACTGAACCCTACTGTATCTCTCACTTTCTAATATTGTCAGGGGAGAGAACTTGGGTCCTTCCTGATCAGCCATTGTGGTCAAGTTAATTTTACTTAGCATTCAATTCTGGATGAAGATTTCCACCAGCACCACCACCACCCTGGCAAAGTCATCATGTGATACAGCAACACGGACTCATTTAACAGGATGGAATCAGAAATTATGAAATAAGCAGCAAAGAGGAAGTGAGGTCAAGGACTCAGGTTGAGAAGGTGGGACTTTGAGGAAGGGAGCCACAAAGAAACGATGCTATAGATTAGAACAAAGTAAGGTTGGTAGGCAAACTACTAGTAAAAGAGGGGAGGGAGTCTCTGTCTTTGCATGGGAAATAGCCTCTTTTGGAAAAATGGAGGGCATAGGGGAAGTGGAGTGATGGGAGGACATGTCTGTTTGACTATGCTGTTCACCTTTATTTCACTTAAATCTTCTTTTATTAAGAGACTTGAAAAGTTCAGTGAATTTTTATAGATCAATCAATGAGCAAGCATTTATTTAGCTCCTTTGACCACTGGAGAGTGGTAATTGTATGTATTGTACAAATACAGTAAATGAATTCCTATTCACAGGATTCCTCTCTCCTCCTTTCTGCTCCTTAGAATCATTACCAAGAATTCTGTCTGTCACTAGTCTTCCATTGGATACCTGTCTATCATGTAACCATGTTCCTGAAAAAAATGTTCTTCTCTCCTTTTGCATTTCAGAAACATCCAAGGAAGGGGAGCTCAACTCAATTCCCCTTCATCTAATCACTTCTCCCTTGGCTTCATCCAAACCAAGAGACCCAAATTCTCCATATAAGCCTTGTGTCACAGGTCCTGCTTGAGTAGATACAACTTCTTCTTTTCCAATTCTATTTATTTTATTCTGAACTTAAGAAATAAAAAAGCATTTCTGTAACATAGTAGAATTGGGGGGGGGAGATGATTGCACATGAAACTGCAAATCTATTACGTACAATTCGCTATTACCCTTAAATATATAATAAATTTATCATGTAACTTTCTTCTTTTTTCCTTTTTTCTTCCCTCACCTGCCCCCACGCTAGAGATGGCTACCATTAGACACAAATGTGTGTGTGTATGTAAAAGCATTCTATACATACTTCTATTTATCAATTCTTTCTCTGGATACAGATAGCATCTTTCTTCATAGGTCCTTTGTAGTTAATTTGGGCATTTGTAATAGTCAACATGACTTAGTCACATCCTTTGACCTCTTCTTGTTTTCTCAACATCACAGGGATATTAGTGGAGCTTATGGGCTGTCTATTAGTTGATTAACTCTTCCCTGACTACATAATTAGCTCACCATTTTTACCCATATATTTCTATTATGACATACATTAATCTACTTCTTCAAAATTCCTTATTTGCAATATGTTGCTACCGTCTCAGATCCACCAGGCACCTATCCACACTGTTTTTGGGTGAGCCTCAATTTCAGTTCTTCAGAGACAACAGTGTTCCATGACTCACAGCCAAGGTTGTGCGGGAGCCAACTAAACCACTAGCTGATTGCTAAATATTCAGGATGAGCATTTATACCTCAAAAATTGCCAAATGGGACACACTGGGGCTTGATCTATTGTTTTACTGATTGACTAAACTCAAGAAAGTGATGAAGAAAATATTAATAAGGGGAAAAAATTTAAGATGTTATGCATATATTTTATTTATTTATTTTTAGACAACAAGCTATACATTTACCAGCATACCTACTCCTGCTCACAGCAGATGGCAGGTCTTTTAATCCAACTAACAGAAAATACAAAAACAACCAAAAGGACTCATAGTAGCACATAAATTATTGATAGGATTCCCCTGCCTTCTCCAGTCAGTCACCATCTTTCTCCAGGGTCTGTTCAATTCACCAAAATCACCCTCCCACAGAAGGGTAACAAACTTATGGTTACTCCAGGGACAACCACCCATTATTCTGTTGGGTTCTTATTTCAACCCAGAGATCCATATAGACATCCAACTTTATAATGTTAAACTGAGGATTTGAACATCCTTATCTCATGAAGGAAAACAAACTACAAAGACAATCAGACCTGCACTAAACAAATAATCCTTCACGTCCCCCTATCGTGGCTTCATCCTCTTGCCTCTCCTCTAGCTATGTATGTTTGTTCGGATGATGACAGGGGAAGGGCATTGTGTAGGGGCAGGGAAGGAAGGAGGGAGGAAAGGGAGAGAGAGATTGGTTTTCCAAAAGGTTGGTGCTCCTCAATATCTCCCTTTTCTCTCCAGTGCTTTTGAATTTAGCATTGCTAGAGAAAGGCAAATCTAAAACAAGTACTTTCTGGGAATTCCCCTTTTATCTCTAGAAGGTCGGATTTCAGAAATCTTCAACTTATTATCTAGAAGGATAGCCTGAGATTTGCCCTACCCAGAAACTCCCTACTTTTTCCCTAAAAGGACTGAGAAACTCTCACTTCTTGATTTACGTATCCTGGGACCACATGCAACTACCACGTCTCTCTCGCTACATGTCCAGGGTTGGGTCCAGGTCCTCAGTGTCCAAGAATTCAGTATCCAGCAACTAGTCTGCCAGTCCACATGGATAAGAATATGCAAAAACCTCATGTGCCTCTGCCCCAAAGCAGCCATTATTGAAGGGAAGAGAGAAGGGGGAGAAAGCTCCTCACCCCACCCAGATCTATTCCTAAACTGCTTCTTCTCTCAGGCTCCCTGGAGGATGAGGGGAGGAGTGAAGGAGGAGTAAAGAGAGGCCTACTCTGCAACTAACCCTCATTTTATAATCCATCCTTCTGTATCAAACTAAGCCAGTAAATGTATTCCCAGATGATCCATACCAAGTTGCAAATGGGTCAAATGGGAACTTCCAAAACCTTTATGGATAAATGAAATCAGACTTACTACCCTATAATTCATCAAGTTGATTAACAAATTCCCCTAGTTAACCTCCAATGTTTAAATATTTATATTACATTTTAAATATATTCATTCATTGTTTTAATGAGTTACTATCATGTCTGCTGTACATCATAGGTATTTGGTATTTATTGAATTGAATTATGTTCACCCTCTACTTACATCATCAATGGCAGAATAAGAAGGGAAAGAGCTATCCATGCTTAAACCCAAGAAAGAAGATTGATTGATGAGCCTCCTGAGTTGAAGGCCTAAGAGCAACCCTTTTTAAAAAATCTTAATTTAACTATATTCTTATCGGATGATACCTAAATGATTAGGATATGAAAGTGTCCAACGAATTCATAGTTCATAAAATTTCCATTTGTATCTTAAGATATATTAAAACTAGATCTAAACAGAAATTGACCTCTTCTCTCCCCTCTTCCTAGAGCAAAGAAGCCAGTAATTCAGTAATAATATCTTGATTCTGAAATAGGAATTTAACAAAAAAAAGGAACCTGGTCATTTGTTTTATTTCATCCTTTTTCTTTTTCTCTCCTTTCCATGATTTAAAAGCAGGAAGGCAAAGGAGAGGCAGTCTGAAATCTAATCCCTGGCACCCCACAGTTACCAGGAATCAAATCATCTCCACCCAAAGTGTCTCCACTAATAGTTAGCATCTTGAGAATAGCTACCTTTCCAATTGCCACCTGGGAATGGTTCTTGTTTCTAGTTTTTTCTCAACAACCTGTTTTTTAAACAACCTGGAATTTATTCTAGATGATAATTTTGTGTTTCTTGTTTCAGATGGTTACACCACTGATGACATTGAATTTTACTGGAATGGAGGAGAAAGTGCAGTATCAGGGGTTAACAATATTGAATTGCCTCAGTTTTCAATTGTGGATTACAAGATGGTTTCAAAGAAGGTGGAATTCACAACAGGTAAGAACATCACTACCAAATGAATGCAAAAACAGTGGGAGAGGAGAGGAGTCTTGAGAAGGGAGGAGATGGCCCAAGACTGCTCATAATCTGATTCTCTTTCTTTTACACTCAGGGGCATATCCACGGTTGTCACTGAGTTTTCGGCTTAAAAGAAACATTGGTTACTTCATTTTGCAAACTTACATGCCTTCAACACTGATTACAATTCTGTCCTGGGTATCTTTTTGGATCAACTATGATGCATCTGCAGCCAGAGTGGCACTAGGTAATGTGTTTTCAAACTAGCAAAATGTTAATGTGCTCTGAGTTTAAACCAACCAACCTATTGTAGCAAGTATAAGCTCACAATTTTCTTACTGTGAAGACTTTCCAAATAATTAGAATTGCACAGCTAATCATGAAAACATACTAGATCACAGTCAAATGCTTCTAAGTCAAAATAATTTTCTGAAATATCACACACAAATTAGCTTTTTGAAGACTTTAAACAATTGCTTATATACAGATTCTGAGAGCATGTCTATTTTTTAAATACGCTGTTTCATTTTTATTCCTACATGCCATATTGGAGAGCATTTACCTGGCTTCATTCTCAAAATAATTTGAGGGTGAAAAACTCTTACCAATTCAGAATTAACAAGTAGCATTTCAAGGCACCCATTTTAGCAGTTTGAAAAATAATCTTCTGGGGAAAAAAAGAAAAAAAAAGAAAAAGAATCTTCTGGAATTTTAACCAGAGTAAATTCTACTGGCTCCTGTTTCCTTTAAGTGGAGCTCATTATGCCAGGATAAGACAAGGGCTATTCATCAAATACATTAATGATCTGTGGTTAGAAATGAGTAGAAAATGATTTCCTTCTTGGGGAACAAAATCAGGAATTAATCATAGTATAGCTGAGTAGTTACTGGGTCACAGGGTAAAGAAGCCATATTTCAAAATTTAAATGATTCCTTGGGAAGTAAGAAAAGAAGATAGCTTCTTCTTTTCTTACTTCCCAAGGAAGAGGTGTAAGTGAGTAAGTAAGGTGGGTTTGGCCTGCTTTGGCATCCAGGGGTCTTCTTGGCTATTTTTTTATTGGGCTCAACTCATTTACCACGCTTAGTAATTCATCCACATGTACCAGTAGAGTACCAATTCTTTAAGTAGGCTAGAATATAAAATTTCCTTTGAAGCTACTGGATAATATTAGGCAACGAGAGCATCCTTTCACACTTAGGCTATGTGTCATCTCGACAGCTTATGTCTGTTGGCTGAGTATATATCAAGCTCACGAGGTCAAGTAGTAGCAACGCCTCATCCAAGCATTGAACGCGTCAGGAGTAAGGAAAGTATGCAAATAATTTACCGTGTCATGCATATGTACATATACTTATATTTTAAATGTGCATATATGCATATGTATATATGTTATAGTTACAGACCCATTACTGGCTAATGTACACAACAGGAAAGAATAGCACAGACATAAATTATAATTCTGTCTATATTTCTGTTATCCAGGCTAATTAGTTCATGATTAGAGGTCTCAGTAGCTAGAAGCACAAGCTGAGACTGACTTTCTGGAATCAGATACAAAATTTATGAAATTTTAAATAGCTTGTGGTGACTGAAAACCCATTTGCATTTGCTTATGCTGTCTATAACCACAAATAAGTTAGCGCTTCATACTTAAACAAATGAAAAATTAGCCTTAGGAACAGATATGAAAACAGAAATACAATACATTTTAAATATAAATTGTTATTTCCTCTTATGAACATCACCCTTTGCTCTTTAGCCATGACATATATGTTCACACACATTATAAGCAGTTATTCTCTTCACAGAAACAAGCTCACCAAGTAGGAAAATATTTCATATGCAATTTATCAGCCCATTGTATTCAAAACTATCTCTCATCTGTATCATTTTCCTTTTTTTTTTTTTTTACTTTTTTCTGCTGTGATAAGTTTGTGTTGACCAAATCATAGTTATCTTCTTGCCTCCAGGAAAGAGAAGGCCAGAACGATCTTTTTTTTTCCCCCTAATTCACATTACTGTCTTGCATTCTTTTAAAATCAATCTTCCTTTGTATTTAAGTTTTCTAGCCTTCTGCTCTTACTTCTGACATCCTCCATGAAGTTTTTCATCTTTCTCATTTTTCTGCCTCCACTCTTTTTAGATATATCTTTAATTTCCTTTCTCTTATATATAACCTTTGTGATACCTTGTGCCCAGATATCACAGTCTAATCAGTCTAAAGTTTCAATTCTCTCTCCACCTTCACTTCTTGATTCTCCTGATCATCAATACAAAATATCAATCTGCACCCACATGAACCATGTATGATTTAGCGTAGGACCACATTTAACAAGATAAGTTAAACAGGCCTTGTTTCTGATCTGTAAGAGGTTTACAATCCTGAGATGCCTCACCTCAAACTCAGTTCTTTCAGAAGGTATTTATGTGCTTCTGTGTTAGACTCTAGAGGGAGGTGGTCAGAGATGAGATTGGGAAATGCCAACAACAAAATATTACATATTCAGAAAATAATTCTAAAACCAATGGCTTTGTGCAAATTATTGGATTTTCTCCAAAATAATAGCAATGATATTACATTACTTTCTAATGCTGAATTTGTTGAAACAAGCTGCTCTATTGGCCTATGGGAAATCATATTATTGTCCTTAGAAGAGAGATTCTTGATCTTTTTGTATGGGTGATGGACCCCTTCTTTGACAGTCTGGTAAAGTCTTGAGTTTTGTCTTGCCACTGGATTTCGATAACGACTTTGTGAAACTCTGCCTCATTTAAATCCAATTCGTGGACAAGTCAAGACATCACCCTTCAATGTCTTTAGTCCTCTTTGAAAAGGAAAGACAAACAACAAAGCCTTATGGACCTGTTCTCAGAATATTGTTTTTAAATGTATAAAATAAAATATATAAGATTACAAAGGAAACTAATTATATTGAATTACGTTACAGTTTTATATATCTTAAATTCATGGACTATAACCATAGAATGCTTACCAATCTACAGGCAATGTACAGAATGGTTTCCTTTCAATGCTCTGGGAGGAGGCAATGAATGGAGAGGAGACTAGAGAATGGTAAAGAAACAGCACAGAAAATATGAATGAAAGATCCATCACCTATTATCTCATGCATCAAATAGTACTTTAATCTGTGATTTGATTTTCTTTGTACCTTGCTCAGAAGCAAATATCTTATCAGCATACCACAAATATCAATTAATATTTTTAGGCATCCTGAAGGAGATCTCTTTGCAGGCTGCTCCCTGGTAATAAAAAGAGTCTTCCCTACTTTACCAAATGTCTGGCCATCCTAAAGCCGTTATTCCAGGAGAATAGTCGTAGGGAGAGATGGTCAACCCCCTCTACCCAAAATAACTTCTTCTCAAAGCTGCTGTAAGTCAAGTTTGGCCTTTTTGTTTTGCAGGAATCACCACTGTGCTGACCATGACCACCATCAGCACTCACCTCAGGGAGACCTTGCCAAAGATCCCCTACGTCAAAGCAATTGATATTTACCTGATGGGCTGCTTTGTATTTGTGTTCCTGGCGCTGCTTGAATATGCCTTTGTAAATTACATATTCTTCGGGAGAGGCCCTCAGAAAAAGGGAGCTGGGAAAACAGATCAAGGGGCTAATGAGAAGAACAAACTGGAAATGAATAAAGTCCAGGTAGTGTACTGAGCATTAACAACCGGACATTTGCCTCATTTTCTTATCAGGAAAACACGCTCTGGGATAGCCCATGATTGCATTTAGTTTGATTTTCAATAGAATCTAGTAGTCTGTTAAAGAATTGTTTGATTAATCTGAAAATGTGTGCTGCAACGTGGTTTTCTAAGAGTAACATATCCAAATTGGATTCCTGCCATCACAAAGGTAAGCAATGGCTTACTTTTCTCAAAAGATACTCTTTGAACCTGGGTTTGAAATACCCTGATTTAAGTTGGTGGGTCCATAAGCACAGTGTAGATTCTGTACAGAAGAAGTCAGGAGACCAATATTTCATCTATAATATAAAGCTAGTAGGACTGAAAGTGTCCTAATGAATGAGATGATAGACATAAACCCACTTTGAATTCTTCAAAAGACTATGTTCTACAAATTCAGAGTACTGTTACCATTTTTGTCCTTACTATTAGCAGTTCTTGTGATCTGTGGACCTCAGTGAGGATAATTATTGATCTATTTGTTCTTCTAAGACATTTACCTATTTTAGTCTCTGTGGGCTTGACATATGTACCACATTTCTTTGAAACCTGTTAAAATTACAGAAGAAATGCTCATTTGAAAAATGCTACTAACTTAAATTTCATTTCAAGGTGGTTGATTGAATCATAAATCAAACTATAAAAGCTATCTTCATACTCTTTAACCATCTACCAAATCAGTGACTTGAACTCAGTCCATTCTATCAGTCTGTATTCTAATCAAAGTATCAAGAAACAAAGAGGTGACCAGGCAAGGGACTTGTCTTTTCCACTGGACCAGATGTAAATATATTTCACACTGAAGAAAACTTGGTAGATAGTCCATATTCTTTTTATCAATATATCCATAAGGAAGCTTTTTGGTGGGGATTTTTTTAAACTTTCACCAAACCTAATCTAACACACATTTATTAAATGCCTTCTATGTGCCAAGCACTGTGCTGGTCACTAGGCGTACAAAAATAAAACAGTCCATGACTCTTAGGAGTTTGCACTCTAATGCGGGGAGAGGGAAGTGAGCAGTGTGGAATGGAATGTACAAAGATAAGTAAATACTAAATATACATGAAATAAATACCAAGTAATTTTGATCTGAGAGGAGACACTAATGGCTGGGAAGATCAGGAAAGGCCTTCATCAAGACATAGCCCTTGAGCTGAGTTTAGAACAGAGCTAGTAATTCCATGAAGTTGACATAAGGAAGGAGTGTGTGTCAGTACACAAAGGCACAGAGGTGGGAGATGAGATATTATATATGAGGAACATCACGTAGACCACCTTGGCTAAGCCTAAGAGTGCATGACAGGGAGTAGTATGAAATAAGTCTGGAAAGATAGCTTGGAGTCAGATCATACAAGACTTTAAATGTCAAACAGGAATTTAGTGGGGGGAGGGGGATTGTTTGTTTAATCTTAGAGGCAATAGGGAGCTCCTAGAGCTTTCTGAGCAAGTGAGTGACTTGGCCTGTATTTTAGAAACAGCATTTTGATAGCTCCATTGATGATGAATTGGAAAGGGGGAAGGAATAGAGACAGGGAGACCATTACAATAAGCCTTATGAAAAGTGATAAGGGCCTAAACCGGGTGATAGCCAATATGAATGGAGAGAAGGGAACAGCTTGGGAAGTGTTGCCCAGATAGAACAGACATGTGCCGGCAAGTGGTGGTCTTAACAAGAGGGCAAGGAAATGTAACTAGTTACAGATGACTCCAAGGTGACTGGAAGGATGATAGGACCTTCAACAGAAACAGGAGAGTTATGAGGAGAAGTGGAATAAAGATGAGTTCTGCTTTGAATGTGTTAAGTTTAAAATGCCTTTGGGACCAGGCAATAGGCAAAGTGGTTTGGAAGCTCAGGAGAGAAGAGGGGTGGGTGAGTAAATCTGAGAGTCACCAGCTTAGAGATGATCATCTAACATAAGAGAAGAGATGATATGACGGAAAGGAAAGGAAAGGAAAGGAAAGGAAAGGAAAGGAAAGGAAAGGAAAGGAAAGGAAAGGAAAGGAAAGGAAAGGAGAGGAAAGGAGAGGAGAGGAGAGGAGAGGAGAGGAGAAGGAGAGGAAGGAGGGGAGGAAAGGAGGGAGGGGAGGGAGGGGAGGGAGGGAGGGGGAGGGAGGGAGGGGGGGGGAGGGAGGGGAGGGAGGGAGGAGGAGGGGAGGGAGGGAGGGAGGGAGGGGGGAGGGGAAGGGAGGGGAGGAGAGAGAGAGAGGAGAGGAGGAGAGAGGAGGAGAGGAGAGAGAGGAGAGGAGAGGAGAGAGAGAAAAGAAAAGAAAAGAAAGAAAAGAAAAGAAAAGAAAAGAAAAGAAAAGAAAAGAAAAGAAAAGAAAGAAAAAGAAAAGAAAAGAAAAGAAAGAAAAGAAAAGAAAAGAAAAGAAAAGAAAAGAAAAGAAAAGAAAAGAAAAGAAAAAAAGAAAAGAAAAGAAAAGAAAGGAAAAGAGAACATAGGGCAGAGCTTTCTACCAATTTATTCTAGTCATGTCTAATCCTTCTTCCACATGACAGCTCTTCAGATATTTAATAGCTAATAATAGCGAGTGTTTATATAGCTCCTACTGTATGCCAAGCACTTTACAACTATCAACTCATTTGATCCCCACACAACAACTCTGTGAGGTCGGTGCTATTATTATCTCCATTTTATAGTTGAAGAAACTAAAGCAAACAGGGTAAATGACTTGCCCAGAGTCACACAGCTAGCAAGTGTTTGAGGCCAGATTTGAACTCAGATCTCCCTGCCTCCAGGCCTGATACTCTATCCATTGCACTACCTAGCTGCCCCTGTTTTACCTGAAGATAACAATTATGCCCAACCTAAGTATTCTCTTCTCTAGTCTAAACATGCCCAGTTCCTTCCAATGATCCTCATACGACATGGACCCAAGTCTCTTTACCATCCTAGTTGTCCTTACCAGCTTGTCAATTTCCTTCTTAAAATGTTACTGAGTTGCTTTCAGTCGCGTTTGACTCTTTATGAGGTTTTCTTGGCAAAGATACTGGAGTGGTTTGCCATTTCCTTCTTCAGGTCATTTTACATGTGAGGAAACTGAGGCACAAACAGGGTTAAGTGACTTGCCCAAGGACACATAGCTAATAAGTGTCTGAGGCCAGATTTGAACTCAGAAAAATGAGTCTTCCTGACTCCAGGCCAGGTACTCTATCTATTGCACCACCTAGCACAGAACCTCCTACTATAGAAATGCTGGCTATCTAAGAGGCAGCTAAGTTGCACAGTGGTTGGAGTGCTTGGCCTAGAGTTAGGAAGACCTGAATTCAAATCTGGCCTTAGACACTTACTAGCTGTGTGACTCTGGACAAGTCATTTAACCTCTATCTGCCTCAACTTCCTCAATTCTAAGTGGAGATAATAATAGCTCCTACCTCCCAGGCTTATTGTGAGGATTAAATGAGATAACGTTGTTTTAAAATGCTTATCATAGTGCCTGGCACATAACAGTAGCTTAATAAATGCTTATTCCCTTTCTTTTCCCTTTCCCACTTATGCCTTTATCCAAGTTATTAACAAAAGTATTAGACAACAAATACCTAGAGACCTAGACTATGAGCCTTTAAGGTACCATCAAGCCATTAATGACTATCCTTTGGATCTGACCATCTACCCAGTACCAAATCCACTCAACTATACTGTCTTCCAGCCTCCATCTTTTCCCCAAGAATAGTGAGAGACTTTGTCAAATGCTTTGCTAAAATCTAGGTAAGGTATATCCATAATATCCCTTTAGCTACAAGTTGAATGACGCTATCAGAAAATGAAAGGAGGCCAGTCTGCCAGGAGTTATGGAACCTTCCTGGCTCTTTGTCATCCCTACCTCCTTTTCTAGGTGTTCACTAACCAGCCCTCTAATAATAATGTTCTGGCTTTTTACAAGGAATCCTAAAATACCTTCCACGTACTCTTGAAGTCCATGAACTCAGCCAGAGATCAAACTATGAAAATAAGCTATTAAGTTGGCTCTCCCAAAGGATTAATTCTACACCTAATACTGTATCACTTACCCAGATGACCACAGTAACAGTTTATGGCTTTAGGCAGGACTTAGCATCCCTCTGGATTCTAATTTCTGGATTGTTACAGACTTCTTGGCACCCTCCATCTGGGTTCTAGTAGTCTTTGAGCCAAATCCCTTGGATAGCAGCTTAAGCATCCCAACTGACCAAACCTATCCAGACACCTCCATTTGACCCATCACATCTGCCTGCACACATAGGATGTGTGAAGTCACTGGCTCCAGCCCAATTCTCTTCTACTTACCCTGACAATCTTCAGAGTTTTTTTTTTCAGGCTTTTTTGGGTTTTTCTTTCCACTGTCACTTTTTTCACTTCTTAATTAGCAGACAGAGCGTGACAGGAATCATTGCGGACTTTTTAATGTATCTTAAATTCTTATTCTCCTACTACCTACTTTTAAAATGTCAGGGGAACCTCAACCTGTGATTTATTCAATTGAAGTCTTTTGCCCTAGTGTTATTTAAAGAGCTTCTTCTATGCTTGCAAATGCATATGAGGCAGCATGCTACTTACTCTAGAAAATACAATTGCCTCCCAGTACAATGGAAATGGTCTAGGCTTGGTGAAGCAAGACTCATGAAAGAAGAGAAATGATCTCTAAAAGTGTTATAAGGTACCCCTTCCACCTATGCAACAATTGCTCCTGAAATTTAGGACAATGTTCAGTATACTTGAGATTGATACAGTCACCACAATGTCATCCATACAAAGAGACCACTAGAGAACCCCATAATCTATGGGAAACAACTTTGCTCTCTATAATAGACCGTTCAAGAGAGTAGTGAATAGCTTTATTAAGAATATACCCTCTGACACACAATACTCACTTAGCTGTGTAACCCTGGGCAAGTCACTTAACCCCAATTGCCTGGCAAAAAAAAGAATATATCACTGTTTTATCCCGTGCTTAACACCAACAATCACATCATTGACA